CCCCGGTATCACCACACGGCACAGGCCTTTCCACCAGGCCTCACATTCCCAGACAGGTCTGTCTCAAGGCTTGATCTGGGATTGTACCACTAGCAGAGATATGCCTAAAGGATTTTATTCCCAGCAGTTGAAATGATGCATTTGTTTGTTTGTCTTAATTTCACTTTTACCATGTTTTCGTTTACATGTGTGTATGTGTTTGTACACACACATACCACAGTGTACCTGTGGAGGCCAGAGGACACCTTGCAGGACTTGGTTTTCTCCTTCCAACATGTGGCTTCCAGGGATGGAACCCCAATCCTCAGGTTTAGCCACAAGCACCTTTACCCTTTGGACCATCTCGCTGGCCCTCGCTGTTTGTTTATATTAAACATTATTTCACTTAGGCAGCTTCAGCGATTTATATGGCTAGATACAGGTATTTATAGGGGTTTTCCTTCCTCCCTCCCCCCTCATGATAGTGTTAAGGCCTTGAAATGAGCTCAGGATAGGTATTAAGTGCCAGATTTAAAAAAAAATAAATCCAGGAAAAACAAAACACTCCGATGTTTAATCACAAACCGAACGTCTGTAGCTATAGGGAAAATCTAGACTCCCAGTGATATTGACCTCTAGAAGTGTGCAGGCGAGGCACCGCAGCCACAGGCTTTCTGGCTGGGCTCCGCTGGTCGCATCAGTCAGAAATTGAATTTCGACTAGGGGGAGGGAGAACCCACGATGCAATTACTGCGATAATGGGGAGAAAAGCAGAGGCACGTTGTTTCAAGCTATTTCTTGCCTTTTTCATTGGAAAGGTAGCAGGCATTTGTGTATGGTAAAGCAAAGAAAACAGTAACAACCAGATGGTAAAGGTGTAATGAGAAACGCTTGTTGCTCCTAGCTCCTGTTAAATAGGTAATCCCCGAATGATTGACATGTGGCTGGAGCTACCGACAGAAACTGGCGTTCCCCAGTATCACACACTGTGGGAACTTGGGTGCTTCTGTCTACATTGGGGGTGAGGATGGAGATGTCTAGGTTTTCTAGCTCTTGTTTGGTACTGTCAGACATAGTATTTCCTGGTGTCTGTTGGTGCCCATAAGAAGCTTGGAGAGGAAGAAGAGGGAGGTTATGTAAATCACCAAGTGACTCAAACAGAAATAGAAGGGTTTTTTTGGGGGGGTGCGTTTTTTTTTTTTTGTTTGTTTGTTGTTGTTGTTTTTTTAGCAGTTTTGGCGTGTTACCTGGGTTACAGTAAATAAAACAGTCACTTCTCATTGAGTCTGTTTTTCCATGTTCAAAATGATTTGATCAGTCAGGGTATGCAGTAAGTAATAGCAAGCAATCCCCAATATCAAATATCTTACTAGGAGCTCATGGAGGTAGGTAGGGGTGTGTGTGTGTGTGTGTGTGTGTGTGTGTGTGTGTGTGTGTGTGTGTTGTGTGCACGAACCTCACCTAGACCTCAGTTTGTCAACCGTATCTCTTCTGGAATGTCACTATTCACCATGACCCCAAGAAGGACATGTGGTAAATCCTACAAGAGTTCTTAATGACAAAATGGTGTGTAATCACCCATCTCATGGGCCAAAATAAGTTAGAGGGCCTCTATTAGCCTCAGGCGGCCAGGGAAGTAGAGCTGCACTCTTGTGCCCAGGAGGCAGTAATGCACACAGTGCTGGTGAGGGCCCTGCTGGCCACCGCAGTAGGACTGCTAATGTTTATCTTCCAGGTGGAGCCCCACATCACTCACTGGGAGAGGAGGCAGAGGCGCCGTTTGAAAGAGGATTGTGTAAATGGGTTTATGAAACCCTGAGTAGACCTCTCGGCATCATAAAAAATATGTAAATAAATAACTGAAAAATTAAAAGATCGGTTTGACACTGCTTTTTCAAATGAATATACAATGGAAACAAAGCTTGTTGGGGTATAGCAAAAACAAAGTTAAACGGAATGCTTATGACAATTTATGCCTATATTTTTAAAAAGAGAAATCTCAAGAATACCTATCACTGTATCTCAAGATGCTCAAGGAGCAAGGACGAACTGAACCTAAAATTAGTAGAAGGAACGAAATGATGGTCAGACCGGCAGTAGATGAGACTGAACCCAAGAATACACAAAGGACCCTAGAAACCAAGGGCTGGTTCTCTAAGGCTGACATAGACCCTTGACTAGACTAAGAAATGAAAAGGGCAAACAATCAGAGATAATACAGAGACTGCATCTCCGAGTGGTCGCTCGTAATTGGTCATTGCAGATTATCGTCCACAACTAAGTGATTTAACAACCCAGAAGATTCCCGGATGCCAGCGCCGCACAGGACCTGAAGCACCTGGCTACCACTGTTTCCCCCTCCTGCTTGAGTCCCTGCTTTTTTTTTTTTTTTTTTTTTTAATTTTATTTTATTCTTCGAGACAGGGTTTCTCTGTGTAGCTTTGCGCCTTTCCTGGATCTCGCTCTGTGGACCAGGCTGGCCTCGAACTCACAAAGATCCACCTGCCTCTGCCTCCCAAGTGCTGGGATTAAAGGCGTGCGCCACCACCACCCGGCGAGTCCCTGCTTCTTATTTTCCAAAAAGTCCAGGATTTCTTTAGTCTGTTTGATTATAGTGACCACGGTTCCCTTCAAATCCCTGTGGCACTAGGTAGTCTCTTAGACATTTGGGGCAATCCAGAGATGTCTGATACTTGTTAAAGTCACTGCTAAATTCAAGAGGCTTCCTAGTGCTTAAAAAAAAAAAAAAAAAAAAAAAAACCATACTTATGGGAAAATGTAGGGATGTGAGCCAAACATCCTTGCCCTCAGCTAAAAGGGTTGTTTCCCCCTGACGGTCCCCGTTAGCTGCCAGCGCTGTCCCCGACTGAGTTCAGGCTCCCCAGAGTCTCTCTCGCTCCTGCACACCCCTCCAGGCAGACTTTTCCCGCTGGAAGCCAGGGCAAAGGTGGCTCAGCACCACATGTCATACTCTCCCTCTCCATCTGGTGTCTCCTAAACCCAGCCATCCCCACAGGATCTTTGTTTAGGGGGGGCCGAAGCAGTCACTTAGCCGCCCTTTCCTCATCTACACACTGAACCTCTTCATTGTGGATGGGGTTCTGCAGTCTCTGGACAGCCCAGGTGGTGGTAGTAGCCTGTTGTTCCATAAAGACTGCAGAAAAGGAGGAACGAGGGAGGGAGGGAGGGAGGGTGGGGGCACGGATGCTCGTTAAGCTTGTGTGGGAAGCATCGCACAGAAAACTGGGTCTAGCGGACTAACCGGATGTTGAGAGCCAGCATAGCCATGGCAGAGTCCAAAGCAGCGACTGGCATTGGTCTGCCATCAATTTCAGTGTGATCTTCACAAGAGTGTGTATTCTGCAGGTGTGTGAATACAACACACACAATCTGGGGGTGGGAATAAAGAGCAGCGGCAAGAGCTCACGATGCCCTCTGGGGACCCGAAGGGAACAGTAGTCTACATGTAGATGTTTCGGAGAAAGACAGGAGCTGTTGATTTAGCCACCAAAGCTGGTTTTGATGTACTAACATTTTGTGGATTTCTCTGACTTCTAACCATTAGTGGATTGCGGATGGAAAAGTCCTACAACGCACCAAAGGAGATTGTTCTGCTTAGGAAAGCTTCCGCTTAGGCGTGGCTTTTTGGGTGCTAGGGATTAAACCCGGAGCCACTGAGCAATGTCTCCAGCCCCTTAGAAGTGGCCTTGCTCTTACTTCTGGACCCACTGACTCGGGTGGCTTCACCTTGAGTGGCTGTTATTTGGAGTTGAGGTTATCATTGAACACAGTAGTTCACATCAGTGTTCTTCTGGAAGCAGCCGTCCTGTGAAGGTTTACGATAGATCATTCAAAAGCCTTGCTTGCCCAATTCTTGTTTCCAGAGTTCTGAGGGTCCCAGGTCCCTCTGCCCAGGGTGATACCATTGGAAACGTAGCAGATTTGGGGAAGGCGAGGATGTACGCGGTAGTGGGTAAGAAAAGCCTTACCCTTTCCTGGCCACAGGCCTGAAAATGCACACCTGCAGAGCTGGCTGGAGAGCACATATGGCTCTTGGCATTCGGAAAACCTTGTTGAAAGTGAAATTAAAATTTCCCTGCTGGACAGGAAATTAATAACCGCTGAGTATAGCAGACAAGGCCAGAGCTAGACCACTTGTTCCGTCACCTAGGACGTTTTATTGTTATGTAAATGAGATCAGCTGCTACTGCCGAAGGGGAATTGAGGAGGGACGGGTTCCTTATGGTTTACATTCCCTCTGCAAAAGTGTTTTCCTGGCATGCACTGGTTTTTTGTACTCCATCAGTGCATAGGCACAGGGAAGCTTCGGGGCCTCTTTTGTCATTATTTCTATAAAGTAGCCTTCATGGCTGCGACACACTGCCATCTACTCATTTCATAACACTTCTAGATCACCCACAGTGAGCTGGGCCATATGCCACCAGGGCGGGGGAGGTGGCTAGGGCTGAATAATGGAATATCTAGTGTCTGCCTTCTGGGACTTTACAGTTTGGAAAAAGAGGATATTGGATAGCAACCACGAGTCCCCCACCCCCGCTGAAAGGACCCATTACACCACTTAGTGTTTGGGGTTGAAAACTGAAGCATGCTGTGGAAAACGAAGCAAATTGGTAGAAGGAACTAAGGGACAGGCCTTGGAGACTGTGGATGAAGCCACTCTGTGTAGACTTGGGTGCATTACTCGGGAATTTTCTTGAGATGCAGAATCGGCCGGTCCGTTTCTTGGTTAGGAGCCAGCAGGCACTCTGTAGAGGGTGAGGCAGAATGAGGGAGTATTAGAAAGGCAAAACCCTGCATCTCCTCCCAAGGCTCTGTAAATTTTCATGGGGGCTTCAAGGGTTAGTTTGGGTTAGTTAGTTGGGGCAGGTGAGTGCCTTATTAGGGGCATTCCAGTGTTGAGAGCAATAGCTTGAAGCCATAAAATGTAGAATCATTCTCCAAAAGGCATAATGTCAACACATCCATGTGTCCCATCTTCTGTCCTATGTTCTTGGTCCTAGTGTGAGCAGTCACACCTCATGAGAGAGCATGAAGACGTCCAGGAGCGCACAACCCTTCGCTATGAGGAGCGCATCACGGAACTCCACAGCATCATTGCGGAGCTGAACAAGAAGATAGACCGCCTGCAGGGCACCACCATCAGGTACGTCTGGCTGCTCCATCTAGCCTGTGCTTGTCCTTGGTGTGCTGGAGTTGGAGCAGGCCTGTGAGTCACTGTGCCAGTCATATCCCTTGATTTCTTTTGTCCCCTTCTGATTCTGATCCTCACAACCACCCCAGCAGGTAGACAGGGTGGGAGTCATGATCCTCCGTTGATTGCTAAGGGTATAGAATCAGCAATCAAGTAAAAGGCTTTATTAACCTTTATTAGGCGGTGGGTGCTGCTCTGTCCTAGAGAGACAGCAGTCTGATATCCTTACAGCCTCCTTTGTTTACCAGATCTGCTCCAGACTTCGTGCCTCCCTTACTGCTTCTGAGACCCATGGATGTGGCTTACAGCGAAGCGTTATATGGGATTCTCCATAATCTGTTAATATTTTGAGCTTATCCCAAGCTGTACATCAACGCTGACACTCATCCTCTTAGCAGATTCCTAAGGCAAGCCTTGACCCATCACTTCACTAGAAAGAAAGATTTGACCCATCAGTTTACTGGTGAGAAAGGCAGGCGTCAAGAGTGCTGATGGGAAACAGTTATGTTCAGCAGAGAACGGAGATACGAGCTGGAGCCCAGAGACTCGCTTTTGCTTAGTTTTCTTTCTCTGAAGATGCCCGTCAGGGACTCTGCCTCCCTGGCTTATCGGTTCATTTGGCTCTGGAATCTGCAACACTCAGTTCCCTGCATTTGCCCTGTGGTTCAGGGACACTGGCTGAGGAGCTCATGGTGGTGGACAGGGAGCATCCCTGTGCAGAGAAGCTGTTAGTACCTACGTTCCTAAACAAAGGGTGCTTGGTTCGGGAAGCATTCGCATAAGCCAGCATTGAAAGAATCTCAGGAGCAGCTGCTCCGAATTCTCCCTGGAGAAGTTCTGGCTCATAAGACGCTTTGGATGTATTTTGTTCCAACTCTGAGAGGCGCAGTAATGATGGGGCTTCTTGGTGAGGGTGCTGACGGGCATCTGTTTTCTGGGCAAAATCATGGAAAATTTTACACTGACTTGGAACCACACAATAAATTTCATATTCTAATTTAGGTCCTTAAGGTTTTAAAATTGTATCCTGGTCTACAGAGTGATTGTGGGTTAGAAATACATGAGAAAAAAAAAAAAAAGATTTTAGCCCAAAGATATGATTATAGTAGATTTCAAAGAGCCTAACAGAGAATGTTGGCAAATTGGTGATTTTCACAAAAAATGAGTTGTACTTTTAAAATCCTGAGAAGATGACAGTGAACAGGTGTAGTCAGTTGTGAGATAAGCACAACACATATCAAGGGAACAACTCAATCTCAAGATGTTTAAATTGGATGTAATGGCCTGACCGTTGCACTTGTGTGTTCTGTGAGTGGCTTGACCGTAAACATGCATTTGTGCCTCTGATTTATAGGACGATTGCATCTGTGCAGACGTCACACAACACTCTACCTGTTTCCATTATGTAAATGATGGAAACTAACTCCTCCTCCAGGGGACTCCCGGCCAGCTTGTAAGATGTGCTAGATGGGCCAGTGAGAAAAGGGTCTTCCAGAGGCTAGGGCACGGCCCCCCGCGCTGCCGCTCCCCCCCCCGCCCGCCAGCTCTCTAGGGATTCTATTTGTCCCCTACCCCTGATATGCTGTGGCAGCCCCAGCTCAGGAACAACACCCCGTGGATGAATTTCTAACTGCTGTGGCATACCCCAGTATCTGTTTGCATCCTTTTCTGATACCCAAGTTTAAAGGGAAAGCAGAGGTAGTGGAGGGCTGGAGAGAGATGGTTCAACAGGTGAGAGCACTGGCTGCTCTTCCAAAGGTCCCTGAGTTTAATTCCCAGCAACCACATGGTGGCTCACAATCATCTATAGTGGGATTTGATGTCTCCTTCTGGCATAAAGTTGTACATGTAGGCAGAGCACTCATAAACATAAAAATAAGTAAAAAAGAAAAAAAGTAAAAAAAAAAAGTAGTGGAAGGGTTGTATATGTCTTCATCCGCATAGGACTTTGAATTCTCTTCTTAGTTATTCACCTAAAAACTCACACCAAAAATGTTTCCTTTTCTTCCTTGCAACATGGAGCTCTCCTAGTTGACCTATGTTAAAGGAACATGCACCTACTAAAGAATATGATAACGGTGCCACAGTTAACCGCATGGCCCTTTGCAGTATCCATGCTCTTAGAAAGAAAGAATAATCTTGGTGTCAGCGTCTCACAAAGGAACATGGAACAAAGCAGAAGTAGCTCAGCAAGGCAACTGCTTTTACAAAAGGGGTGCGTGAGAACCCCACCGGGGTGGGCAGGCCCGAGCACGTGGGACCTGGTATGCACAGGTGGTAACTGTCTTTTCCCCATTGTCTGGGATCCAATCTCATGCTCTTTCAACACGGGCTGGTTTTACAATAGTCAGAGCAAAGGAGATGAAGGAAGGAAGGAAGAGGTGGGCGCTCAAAAGTTTTACTGGGTATTAAAACATTTGCATCAAAGTCTGTAAGGGAAGAGATAAAAGATTTGCATAAAAGTCTTACAAGCTGGAAGAGATAAGAGGAATTAAATCCCTTGTCCTAAATAGGTTTTATATTGTTTGACACAAAAGGCTAGCATTTGATGTTTCTTAGAATACCATTGAACTACAAAGAAAAAGTAGTTGTAATACAATATTATAGTGACAATATTAATATAATATATAAGATGTATAATATATAGTACAAATATAATTTGTACATATATATTATATATGTATAAGATATAAGCAATATATAATATAATATAATATAATATAATATAATATAATATAATATAATATAATATAATATAATATAATATAATATAATATAATATAATATAATATTATAGAGTGACTAGAGTGACAAGTGAGGGAGATGTAGGGCTGCCACTATGCCATAAGTTAGAAAGGACGGCGTTTGAAACCTGGAATTTTCTAGTCTATTGCCTAGAAATTGTGAGCAGTTTATTAGATTAGAGCAAGCTAATACAGGGGTCGGCCTCCTAAGAATAAAGATTTGGAACACTTCACTAGGTAAAACACTGATTCTGGGCTGGGGATGTGGCTTGGTGGGTAAGGGCATCTGTTGCTCGTGCAGAGCACATAAGTGCAGCTCCTAGAACCTGTATGGTGGTCCATAGCACCAGTAGCTCCAGTCTGGGGAGTCTGATACCTGTTTTTGGCCTCCATGGGCACCAGGGACATATACATACATGCAGCAAAACACTTGTGCACATAACATAAATAAATCTTTAGAAGAAGAAAGAAAGCACTAAATTAAACTAAGTGAGCTGCTGCCCAAACCAAAATAAACAGATTCCCTAGGAGAAAGAAAAAGGGAGTTTTAATAATGACAGCTCCAGCTTCATGACCAGTAGAGAAGATAGCTAAAGTCGACGTCTTTTTCTGGTTTTGTGTATATGCATTTTGTTTCTCCTCTTGATTTTTCTGCTACTTGTATGTGGTGAATTGGTGAAACTTGTAATTTGGTGGCTAGGTTTGATAACGTCTAGTCATCTTTGCCATTGGCTCGGGGAGGTCCCCTGCCAGTAGATACAATAGCTGATGGTGTAGGGGCCTCCCATTTTGAGGAGCAGCTGAACTCATCCCATTGACCCGAGGGACAGTTACAGAAGGTTTGCTGCTGCTATGCTGTTGTGGTTGAGAAATTTAACTGATCGGGAGGGCTTATTGGATGGATGGTCACTGAGCAGTCCTCGAGTGGAGACTGTAAGGACTGTCTTCTGGCCCAAGTACTGTTCCCTGTTCTTTCTCTTATCTCCCCCAAATCAAAGGCATTCAGGGCCTGGGCCTACTTCCCAGACCCCCTCCCAGCTGTGTTCTGGATACTTTTCAGTCTGGTAATGAAGGGTCTGGGAGAAAGTAGAGGCATTAATCATCCCCACTAGGCCGTGATAGTGGCAGCAGACATACAGTGTAGATGCAAGGGTCTGCCTTGACTGGCCAGACACGAAGTTCTGGACAGGTATGTAGCAGCAGCAACAGGTGCCTGGTTTCTGGGGGGAGCAGAGCTGGGGTGACCAACCCGACAGCTCCTCGGGGCCTCCACCCACCCACCTCTGTCTTCTCCGTTGTTCTTCCACCAGCTTCGCAAGCACAGACCTGCCTGAAAGCAAGGCTGTCTGTCTGACTCTTTTAGTATGGTTTGTTTTCCTAACCGATCCCTACTGGATGTGCCCTAAATCTCATCTCCTAGAGACAAACACGGAACATTTTGTGTACATGTCCTTCTGAAAAATTTCTCTTGAATATTTTAAACATACTGGATCATGCACCCCACAGCACATAACAGTTTTATAATACGTGCTTTTTCATTTCACAGCGTATTATGAGTGCCTTTTGAAAGGTGTTTGACTTGTGGAGGTTTTATAATGGGATCAAAAATATGAAAAAAAAATATGATCATAGTGCGCTTTGGATCCAAAAAAGAAAAGGAATAACGTCTAAGCAAATTGAACGTGAGATCTTCTCTTTCCCATAAGCAGCTCTTGTAACACCACCCCTTCCCTGCTGACCCTCATGGCTCATCCATGTTCTCAGCTTTGTTTCCCTGTTCACTCTGAGCTGGCTGCTGGCTGTCTTCTTGCCTCAGCAGTTTTCTGTTGTGGAATATTTGTACATTGTGTGAAGATGTATTTGCTGAGATTGGTGTAATAAAAAACTGAATGGCCAGTAGGTAGGCAGGAGGTATAGAAGGGATTTCCGGGAAGAGAAAGGAAGAGGAGGAGAATGCAGGTACAGGAGACACAGCAAAGAAACAGGAGGTGCAGGATGGAAGTGAGGTAACACCACATGATAAAATGTAGAGTAATAGAAATGGGTTAAGTTATAAGAGCTAGCTCGGAACAAGCCTAAGCTATAGGCCAAGCTTCCATAATTAATAAGAAGTCTCCGTGTCATTATTTGGGAGTTGGCTGACAGGACAAAGAAAGACTCATTAGAATTTCCCCCCAGCCCCATTTCCTATGGACTGAAAACTGCCCT